TGCTACTGGAAGGTGGCAGTGGGTAAGGTGACACCCCAACAGCTCAGGAGATTTTCCTGTAAGGATAAGTTAAAAGGCACCTGTGTAATTCAGTCTGTACGCTGGGATTACAAATTAATTGAAGAGATGGGGTACACTGATTTCAACGCATCACCAGCTTAGCTGTGGTTCTGATTGCACAAGCAAGCAAAGACTCAGGGCAATTAAGGTCTCTGTGTTTACAGGAAAAAAGATAATCCCTTCAAGTAGTTAAGTTCCCTTTCCTCTCCTAATTTGCAGTAACTATTGTGGTCCTAACACTCTGCTTCACTTCGACAAATCCGAACCTTTTCTTAATTGAGATTTTTATCACACCCAAATAGACTTCCCCCCCATTTTATAAAGCTTCCAGGTTGTATTTTTATGGAACCAAAATATTTTACTTTTAAAGAGCTATACAGTTGTCAGCTGTCTTGTAACAGCAACAATTACTGAAATTAAGCAGTGTTAGAAGAGGAAATGCCTTTCCATAGAAGAGGAAATACTTTTCTCACCCAGCATCTAGTCAATGCTCTGACTTTCCGCACGTCAGGCAAATAACACAGTTCTGGACACAGTACACCTTGGAGGGGATATTAAAGTTTCACTGCTTCGGAGCACGCTTTTCAGCATGATTTGTTAAACCTGGATTAATGCTGATTTGCATCGGCTTCACCCTGCCCTGGATGCATAGCTGTCCTGCATTGCACACCATTCCTTGGCATTTAAATACCATCTTTCAAACCCCACATCTTCAGGCAGGTCACTTCCCACCTGTCAGACATCTAAAATTGTTAACAGTCCTAAGTTTAATGGCAATATATTTCTAGGTTTAGTATACACCAAGAAAAAAAAAAAAAGGAATATTTACATGGATAAGATGACTATATTTATTCATCCCAATGACAGCTTAATTCAACACCTGTAAATGCTGTACTGTGAAGATCTCTACAGTGCAAGCCTATTGCTTTAGCGTGGAAAAGATTATTGGTGCATTTTATATATGCTGCACAAATTGAACAAATGTGCAATTCAGAAAATGAAAATATCAGTAATCCTGCTAATATGGGTGTTGAGAAAAATAACTTTACAGAAGTCCTTGGAAAAAAGCAAGGGCATTTGAACAGGAGACTCCACCTAACATATTATAACCCAGTTCCAGCGATGTATTTCTAGCTAGTATTCAAAGCCAAGCGCGAAGGTGTACAGTCCCCAACCACTGAAGGGTTTGAGTTGCAGTAGTGTGCAATGCAGCACTGTACTCTAGCTTTACTATTGATTCCAGTCACCATGCAGTCATCCTGTACCAAACTAGCGTAACTTTTGGAATTCTGTTCCAAATCAGTAATGCTGTCTTGAAGAAAGATTACCTTTTTTTTTTTTAAAATTATTATGTTTTAAAGTGTTGCCCAATGCATGAAGAACAACAGACCCATCAGCTGTTCAGAAAACAAGATTTCATTTATTGTAAAGTTCCTGAAACAATAAACACCTTATCAGAAGTACAATGAACTGGCACCATTTCTTTAAAATGTTAAACTGTCTTCCAGAACAGCACCTGGAATGTCCAAGAGAGATCTTAAGCCATGGAAAATCTTGGTGCAAAGCCCACCTTCCTCCCTGTCCCTGGCCAGCACCACCAGTGGAGAACAGGCAGTTAATTTTTATTTGCATTTCCTACCTAAACAGCTCTCAAGATTCACCTGGTAGACTGCAAGATGGAGTTCACCCTTCTTTTGTATTTAGGGACCCTCAAATGAAAGATGTAAGAAATGAGACAAATCACAAAGCAAATTCAGCTTTGGACAAAAAAAAAAAAACCAAAACAACCAAACCAACCCCAAAGGATTATTTTATAGACCTTTTACTGTAATGACTATAAAATCTATGACCTCTTGCTTAGAGAGGTGAATGTAGCAACAAGACAAGAGGAGGCAAGGCTTTGCTTTCAACTAGACATTTGCTGTTTATTCCAACAACTGCAACAGAGGCATAGGCCTGCACCTACCCCACCTATAGATATGGTTCACATCTCTTGCATCAGAACCGTAGAAATAACAATTCTAAGAACATCTGCACTTCCATTCCTTTTAGCTTCCCCTGCGTTCAAGCAAGCAGCAGCCAGCAGGTGCCCGGTCTGGAAAGCAGGGCCTGAGACAGCATCGCCCACAAGGTCCAAGGAGTTGATCCCTTCTCCGCAACCATCCCCTTCCCACAAACACTTTAAGGCGTAAGCAGCTTTTCAGATGAACTGCATATGTACGTTCGGTCCTCTGTATTCATGGAGCTGCAGAAAAAAACAGCTCTTCTTCACAAGCTAGTGATTTGTTCCCAGTCTTAATGTGTTACTTCACTAGTAACTAAGCCTCTCAAAAACATCAGCCTCGAGAGCCCCTTTCTACAGTGCAGGGCAAGAATACCTCATTTACGACTTTACCCACACTTACAGTGGAACAGAAATAGCTTCAAGTGTGTGGGGCTGGCCGATAGTCCTGCAGTTAAACATTACAGACAATTTTTCCGATTATAGGGCCAATCTAAGATGCCTTGTATATAACTTATACTATTAAACTTTCACAACTTTATATAAATTCTTAATGATGTTAAAAAACACTGTACAAAACCACCTTAAGGCACAAGTTAAACAGAAATGCAGCCCACTTGAAGTCTCAAAGCAGCCAATTCAAGAGAAACTGGCCTTGTAATAAGTACATAGTTCATTTATACATGCTAAGCTTCATTGTCATATGTTAAAAACAGTAAATATAGGACAAAATGTATGCTGCTCAGCATCTACTCTTTTTCTTTAGTACCAACCCCCACCTGAGAAATGATCTGTGGTTACAAATAGGAACTGAAACAGCTCCTAGGTCCCTCAAATTATTTGCTTTGAGCAACCATGAGCTATTACACATTTGGGCCTCCAGATATGGCAACATAGATTTGTTTTGTAAGGGTGGGATGTGAACATGCTTCAACCTCAGTGCTTTGCTCAACTTAGTAAAAGCAAGATAGTATGGATGTGAAAACAAGTCAAAATGGCAGTGGCAGAAGCTGGGAGAAATTTTAATCTTGCAGAAATGAATTCCATAAGTTGATGTGCCTCCCCCAAGCAAATTGTCTTGGGCAAATGACTGAACAGTAAAAGCAAGATGCCCATGAAGAGTACCGTCATGCTTAAAAACTCTGAAACTGATCAGCATTGTAGGTAGGGTCAGCAAACATGCAGTAATGCAGCTACCGTCCACCTCCAGAAATGCCCAGAGAACACAACTACTCCGTTGGGTCAAAGATTCTTCTTTAACTTCTACTAATGGGCAGCCAGAGCCATCCCAGAAAATCCTGCAGGGCAGCTTCTCAGTAGGAGCCTGCAGGTTACTGTCTACAGGAGGGAAAAAACAGCAAATGACTCATTTCTCCAGAGTATGAAAGGCATCTCTGCATTACAATGTAAAACACATCCAAACTCAATTATTCAAGTACTATTGGATGTTTTCTTATATGAAGGTCTTCAAGGAGTGAGAAGTTGCCCTACCTACATCAATATTCAATACATAATTCCATAGGGGAAGAAGCCTGAGAGAACGGTTTAATTTAGGTGCAATTGTTCTGATGTGGCTTCACATGAAGGCAACCAGACCACTTGCAATGAAGCCTTATGGAAAAATGCTCTTTGTGCCGCTCAGTGTCACACTGCTTTTTGTTCAGTTTTCTTCTTCACTAGCGCTTTTTCTCCCACCCTTACAGCAATGCTAATCAGATCACCCCAGTACTGCTTGTGTTATTAGTAAGCCATTTACTTTCTGTGTGAAGGAGGAACTGTAATATTAGCACAGAGCCCTGAACTCCCGTTCACTAAAAAGAGTAAGAACATTCTTGGTACGTTTGAAATGAGGAAAGTCTGTAGCAACATGAAAAAAAGGAAAAACTAGCTTAAGAGTTTCTATTCCTTGTTTTATAGCAAGAAAACTTTTGTTAGGGTTTATTATAAAGGAACAGCATAAGGAAACCAAATAAATAGTTAACAGTATGCAATATAATAGTACTAAACTTCAATTACATAAAAATTAACTTTGGAACAGCATCAATATGAAAGATTTCTTAGAAAACTAGGACTCAGTCCAAGACCCTCAGACCTGTACATTGCAAAAACCAGTCAATTTTGATGCCCAGTTGGTCCCAGGTTTGTCCTCTGAGGGACCATGTCCACTGAGAACTATGACCCATCCATACAGCTCCCTAATCCCTCTCTGCCCCATCATACACATGCTGTTTTTCCAAGTGTCTAAGGGAGAATGATTGGGAAGCATGAGGTACGAGTTGTGCTTCATTGTTGCAGAAGCGGTATCTTCTTCCTCATCTGATAGCTATATCGAACAAGGTTACGCAATTTAGCCTAAGGATGCTTCTTTCTTCCTTAAAGCAGCGGTTAGAGGAACAGAAAGAAGGCAGCAATGACCTCATGCTCCCAGTAAAACCCCAGCTGGCTTCTGGGGGAGGTGGAATCGAGGGCTGATTTATCATTAGTTGGACAAACTGTGTGATCTAACATGGTGAAGTCAGTGGAGAGAACTTCAGTAACTTCAGTAGAGCTACATCAGCCCCTCTGTCATTCCTTTTTCCACTCACCAACAGTGTGCAGTCACACTGTGCTGGATTCTATTAGCACATCTCACCCAACACAGGAGGGGACAGGAGTGATCTCTTCTGGCTCTCAAGAGTGACTAACTTAAGCAAATTCTTCACCCTCTGGAGGTGGGGATTTTACTGTGCTCCCAAAGTGGGATTTTACTGTGCTCCCAAATAAAGAAGTATCACCACTGTGATCTGGAATCATTCCCTGATACAGAGTTCTTTACCTGTGGGACATGTGCATCTCTTCCTAGAGAAGCGCAGCTCACTGTTTGGCTATATGCTAGATGAGTCTGGGTCTTTGACTTGATGCAAACAAAGAAATATATACACAGTATAACTTTGAAATCTGTACGTCAAACCAGTTGATCAAATTTTGCTCTCATACAATTTTTAGATCAGTAGATAGTTCCACTGAAGTCAGGAGTGCTAAAACATGTTTGTGGAAAACCCAGCATTATATTTGCATTAAATGCCAAAACATACCCTAAAATACTCCTCTTGACATCTGTCACTGAAACACTTCCAATGTCAACTTCTCCAGAACACTGGAACAATTAACAAAAACTGCTATCAAGCAACAAAAAAAAAACAGAAATAAAAATTACAAACAAAACCAAGCTTTTTATCTTTGTCAAATTCCTGTCAGCCATTTGAAATCTTATCTGTTCCATGAAATTAAAAACTTGGCACATTTTCCTTGGATGCCATTTATCAACATTTTCTTTTATCTAGAACATTTATTGCATATCAGAAATTCGCTTGGCTATGTTTTTGTTTAGTAGAAAACACTGTCTTCCAGTTATAGCTATGAAGCTCCACACAGTTCAGTAAATGAATTCTCCTGGTATTTCTTGCAGTAATGGTTCCTCAAATTTAAATCGTTTGGAAATGGCTTTCTGCTCAGTTACTTTTTCTTTTTCTGACTGCCTACATTGTCCCAGCGTATATGAAGCCACTACAATTAGTTCTTCTGTCACTATTGATTCTTCCTCTTCAGTCTTCTCAGCATCAACTGATTTTTCAGACACAGAATCTGCATCTTTCTGGGTGACATCACTGGTCTCCCCTCCTGTACTCTTATTCCAGGCCCTGCAAGCAGGATTATCACTTTGTTCTAACCATGGATGTTGAAGACATTCTTCAGCAGTTGCCCGGTCCCTGCAGAGTGAGGAAAGTGTTAAAATAAATGTCCAAATGAATTTGAAATTCAGTACCTTGCAGAAGAGATCCATACAAATTATTCCAAGGATATGACTGTATTAAAGACTGACTGATAGAACTTAAAAAAAAAGTGCTGATAGCAGCTACCTTTTACCAAAAAGGACAACAGCAGCCCAAGGAGGTGAACTGCTAACATTTAAAATAACAGAGTTCATAGGTCCTTAAATACCACAGTTTATGCTCCCATGTTGCCAATCAACTTTCGAAGTTTATACAGTTGTTTTTTTTTTTAATATAGGACACATTCTTAAAGTATTCCTACAGACAAGCAGTAGGCAATTTCAGTAGTTGACATGCCCCATGAAGAACTGGTGAAGTTCCACAGAAAACACCTCTTCTATTTTGAGACCTGGAATTTCCAGTTTGCTGCCCATTGAGAAAAGCATACTAGTGAACCAGAAAAGAGTATGGTACTCTACCAACTCATCAAGAATAAAAGGCTCAAAGCACAGTTCATTTTAAAGACATCAGCAAGGTACCTGTAAAGAAAGTCAGTATACTCTACCACATGCTACAATTCATATATAGTTTTCTGAAAGGAATTTGAGTTTTAATTACTAACACTTGGACACATTCAGAATATGCAAGTTTGGAGGGAAATGGAAGACTTCCTTTCATATACATGAAAAGTAATAGCACAATGAAATATGAATAATCAAAGTTCCCTTATACTTTAAAAATGAAAATGCCAGCACTTGCTACATTTAAAATAAATCCAGTCAGACATTTTAGCATATACAATTGTGTATTTTACTTACTCAGGTTTCTTAACCAGCAGAGTTTTGATGAAATCCACGGCAGACTCTGATATGAGGTCAAAGTCTTCTCCAGAGTAACTTACGTTCATTTGAGATATATTTAAGAATGTTTCTTGTTTATCATCCCCTAAGAAAGGTGATATCCCTGTTAGCATAACATATGCCAGTACTCCAATGCTCCTAAAGTAAAAGTAAAAAACAGAAAAGCAGCTTTTTAGGTTGGGGTTTTTTTTTTGGGTTTGGTTTTTTTTGTTTTGTTTTTAAAAATCCCATTCCAGTAAAGTATTTGTTCAGCTTACCACATGTCGGTTGCTGTACTGATCGGGTCATAACTCAGAATTTCAGGAGCTAGTCAGAGGAAAAAAAAGTTCTATTTTTTTGCCATATGCAGACATTACATTGTAGTTATACAGTGCAATAATGGGTATGTGGTAAAACTTAATAAGCCATTTGAAGCATGATAGTCTTTTGAGACAGATATTGCTATTCAAGTTATTTAAGTGATTACTGTCATTCACTGGTTTTAAGTAGAACAAATTGTTTTCCTTCTGTTGTCTTCTTCAGAAGCCAGGCCAGTCTCTTTCCCAATTAAAGGAAGCTGTATACAAATTTCTTATGGAAAAAATGAGAAATATCCAACATTCCATATTCCAGCACTGAAACCCATACCCATAAAGATATATTGTACAACTTAAAGATATTTTCAAGGCCTGGAATGATTTGCTTTTGAAAAAATGAAATGGATACAAACCTCCAGAAGCTACAATATTACATTCAGAGACTGGACATGTAATTCTGAACTTTTAATCCAATACTTGTTATCGCTACTGGCAAGAACCATCTGAAGTGTGTACTCATCTTCAACACAAGCACACAATTATCACTCATTAGACTGGCAAAGCTGACCAGTTCTAGCTTTTATAGCAGTACCACATCCAAGTAATAATCTGATCTTTCAGCACAGTAACTATGCAGCCAGCCTGACATTCACCAAATTGAGGTAGTTTCTCTTTTCACTCCCCCAAAGCCTGGACAGTCCCCTCCTCAGGGCTGCATCACTCATATAGTAACAACTTACCTACATATTCTGGAGTTCCCATAATTTCTCTTAGTTCCTCACTGCTCTTCATTATTCTGGAAAGGCCAAAATCTACTATCTTAATGTCTCCCAGAGGAGACTTGCTGGTTAGTAGAATATTTTGGGGCTGAAAAACAAAAGAAGGAGACTTTCAGGATCACCCAGATCTAATGTCTATGACACCATATAGCATATTGATCTAAAATAATTATATTTTAGATCATGAGTAGCAATAATGCATTCCATAACAAGCATGATACCTAGGATCATTTATTTATTTATTTGTAAACCCCTCCAAGGTGAACTTGAAGAGACACGTAGGTTAAAAAGAATGGCAGGATTTTCTGTTTATAGCTGAGAATCAGACTTCTATTTTTATTAGCTTAGAACACATACAAAATACATGCCAGTAGCTATCATTTAATAATAGCATAAAAATACCTCCATATTTGTATCTTTAGTCCTTCATATCACCTTCTTAACTCCCCTTTCCTCCTTGCTTCCTTCCAAAAGCCGGTGTAAAATACCTCCTGGTGAAGGGTGTCCAAAAACACCCAATCATTTTAAAAGACCTGAACACATAAAACTATTTTGACTACACCTGTTTAAAGAAAGTCTGTTGCAACCGACCTCAATCTTGTTCAAAGTACAAACAATTGAATTACAGAATACTAACTGAAGAACAGTTTAAAAAAAATACAGCAGCCTGAAAAACAGGTTTTTAAGAGCATCACCTTTGGATAAACTTGTTTGCTCTGACGTCACTAGATCTTGGCTGTCATCCTTCAAAGCAACTTTGTGGTCATTAAGAAGTTCCTTACCGTCTACTTTGACTGCTAGCTCAGTTTAAAGAAAAACAAATCTGAAAACTAACTTTAGACAACAGGTCTTAGAGATTTTTTTTTTTTTTAACTGAAGCATATCCTTGCCAAAAAAAGGTGTGACCCTCCCTGCCCCCAGGCCAATGATCACATTGGGTTCTAACATTAACTTCTCCAAATGGTAATACTGAGAGTTGACACTACATTCATGCCTCTGGTGAGCACAAGTTCCGTGACAGTGAAGAAGCCTTTATTTACTGAGAACCTGGATCATCTTGCATTGGGGTGGTTGAAAAGGGAGGAGGGCAAAAGAGCAAGAACATCGCGGCAACCACCGACTGATAATCCAACCGGAATAACACCAACATTTATACTTTTTCCCTAATCACTGAGCCGTTCTCTCATCATCCCCTAGTCAATCATGAAGGCATGCTTTCATGTCAACAGCCTTGCTTTTGAACACAGGAATAAAGCTTTGCAAGAACATTTTAAAAACCTTGGGTCAGTTCTCCTTGCTGCAAGACCTAAAGATAGGCAAATTCTTTCATTCCTGCAAAGTTAAACCATGGTATTTCAAACTAACTTCATGATGTTGTCAATCTATTTTCTGTTTGTAAATCTATGTATTAAGAACAGCTTATTTTTTCTTTTTTTGCTTACAAACTGGGATCTGGTGGATATACAAAGACTTTTGGAGCTGCGCATTACCATATGCTTTATAGTTCACATTTGTTATTCTGTATTTGTATTAGAAAAGCAAACACTCAAAAATGCTGACCTTGCCTCCCTAATTAGCCTCTCAGATGTTCTTCCCAGTGAGAGATGTACTTACTTTCTGAAGAGGCAAACAGAAAGCATGAGAAAAGCATTTGTTCTCTATATTTAAACGAGGAAAAGTTTTTAATGGAAATGTTTTGTGAAACCCTTAAGCCCTGTGTTGTAATATTTTAGTAGATAATGTAGTTGCCAGAAGTCTTTATTGTCTTTTTTTAAAACACAATCTTATTCAAAACACACCTATGCAGAAAAAACCCCGTCTACAGTACAAATTGAGTCATAAACCTAAAATCAATTAATAATAAAATATCAGTCGTTCTCATCTTTTAAGGAATCATTATGGGGTTCAAGTGAAGTGACAGGCTAAACACAAGCATGAAAACCTTAAAGAAGCTGTAGCTTTGAACTTACCATATTTTTCGGCTCGACACAACTACTCTAAATCTTTAAGAAAAGGAAGATAATTTTCCTGCATCTGTAAAGCTGTTTCTCTCTTGTTTTTCCACTGATATAATACATCTAGGTTTGCCTAATGCTGATTAGCCCACAAAGGCAAGAGAGATGCAGGCCAGAGGCTCTCCTGGTAGCCGTTCTAAAAAGAGCCTTTCACTCTTACCATCAAGCAGTAATGAAATGTCTAAAGAAAACCGTCAAATGGCAACATTTAAAAACCTCCCCCTCTACTGCAGTGAGGCTTAAAGGTTCCAGCTTAGATCCTCTTATGTTGTGCACTGAAGAAAAATATAAAAAGAAAAAAATCCTGCCTAAATGGACAATCTGAATGGATGTACTTTACTACAAGATTGGTATGTGCACAGAAACCACATGATGTGGCCACGTGAGCCTAGCCCAACATCACGTTAGCATGGCCAGAAACAGGTACCTTTGGCAAGATTATAAAAACAAGAAAAAAGTTGTATTTTGCGAGGCATACTGTCAGCAATCAGAAACTCGGGCTTTAGGAATTTGAGATGTTGGTTATACCTGTATCATCATGTTAGAGCAATAGCAGTGAAAAACATCATTTGCCAATGAAAATATTAACCAGCCTTACATTTTTCACTTAAATTGGGCTAAACTACTGTCACATAAAAAGAGCATAGCTTTCTTGACACTATGAACTTCAGTGCAAAGTCCAAAGTAAGGCAACATATACAAAGATCTGTTCTCATCTAGAAACTTATTCTGCAAATCACATGAGTAGTTTGTAGTAAGTGTACTTAGTGAAATGGGACACTCTTCAACCCTACATTGCCAGCAGGTTTTGGAATCTTGTAAACTGACTACATAACGGCAAAATCTGTATATTGCAAATTTGCCATTATTCCAGAAGTTTCTGTGATCCTTTGGCCCTAATATTTCTTGTATCCTTAGTTGGTTTCAAGAAGAATATGACTAAGGACGCAAAATAAAGGTCATGTTTTTAAACTAATCAATGCCACACCTTAACCTGCAATATTAAGTTAGGTATCTAATTTTATGATACTGTAAAAAAAGAAAAATCAGATCCCTAGAAGACAAGACAAGAATTATCCAAGGAATAATGGGCAGAAACGGGAAAAAACAGACAGCTGGGATAGCCCAGCTACATTGTGTGTAAAGATACTAAAGTAGGCTGATAAGTTTGCCCTAAAAAAAAAAAGTTAAAGGACCCCCATATCTTTAAGCAGTTGAAAAGTAAGAGCAGAATTTGCTTGGGGGTGGGGTTGTTTTGGTGCATGTGTACAAGTGGAAAAAATGCAACAGTCACTAAAAGACTGAACATATTAGACTGGCATCACGCTTTATTCCCCAAAATAAGCAATGCAAGTCTCAAATTAAGAAATAAGGCTATAATCTACAGGTTCTGTAGAACCTGGCTACTCTATGCCTGCCTATTAATAAACAGCTTTGCTCTAATTGCTATAAAGGTTTTAACTCCAGATTAAACTGTTCTTTTGCTTTGAAAAATTATTTTAAATTTTAACTCTTTTCTTAGTTTCCTGGGTGTTCCTTTAGACAAGGAATACTCCACTTCTATTAATACCACACTTCTGTGTAATAAACATTCCACCTTAATCCACCTGGATTGGTGGGTTGAGAAAATTAATCTGTAACGTTCTTGTAACAGGACACTTTTGTCATTGCATTAGTTTGCTTTCTGAATATTGGTGTAAAATGACACGCATAACAATTTCAAACAATGATTTTGCTAGTTGTCCTCACTGTACACAAAATCTCGAAAACAAAACAGAAGGAGGGGAAAAGTTGTCTGTTGGATAGCCAGAGTAATATATACTGTAGGAGAGCACTGCTTGGAGCAGTCATTCTCCCAGGGCTATGTAAGGCTCTTTACTTATCTCCACTGTATAACAGAGGCAGCTAGTCCTTCCTCAGCCCTGCACTGTTTTAAATTCTCTTCCATTCCCAACTACTTTAAGCTTTTACCAAACACCAAGATCAAGTCAAACAGCAAATGAAAACACAGAGACAGGAGTCTTCCCTTACTCTGCAGCTTTTATGCACCATTAAGAGGAGATGAAAGACTCGTGACTACAATCTATGCACACCCTGCAAATTAAACAGCATCAACACAATACTGTCAAGTGATACTTAATTTGCATTCAGTAGCATTATATTTGCTCTTTCTCCAAGTCACAACTGGATTACATGGCTTGTTTTTAATAGCAAAATCCGATCATTTTTCAACCATCTTTCAGGAGAGCCATCTTTTGGAAAGAAATGATCAGGTGGCAACCCTGCTAAGCTACATCAAAATACTCCATTTGCTCTGCAGTGTTTAGTCTCGTAGGAAAAATCTTGCATCTGTTAAGGGGGCGGACAAAAGCTAAAGCAAGCTAGCTGTCAGAGTCATGGATCTGGTTAATTAGATTTATAATACAAAACTACAACAGCAAGCTGACAATCACATACTGACAACCATTTTGACTTAAATTCTTCTGGGCACAGAGCCTGACTTTTTTGAAGGTGCAAAATAGGAACATTGGATGGACCTTTCCAAAGGTATTTGTACCAGACAAACGAAAGGGAAACCTTTAGAGACCCAAATGTGAAGCTAATAGCACAAGGAAAACATTTTAGCAAGTATTTGTAAACTTTGAGATTGGCGAACACCTTGCCTGCCAGCAGTACACTTTGCACAAGTCTTCCAACTGTTTCCCCCCAAAACTAAGTATTTAGTAAATTCCATGGTGCTGTAAGCCACTAGGTAAAGCAGCATGAGCCATATTATACAACAGAAGATGGTTTGAGGCCAGTGGGTTAATAAACATGCAGCCAAAACCATCACCCAACTTCAATTTTTGAGTTCCTTGAAAAATGGGCCTTTTTTTGAAGTCTTGCAAGGCATGTGGGTCAATCAATCTTCACAAGTCACCATTTTTAATCTTACAGTTTCAATCATCCTTATTTGCCAATATTCTGAAGAATTTCCTAAACCTTATTTTGCAGAAGACCAATAGTCTCATATATCATGAAAGTAATCATACTGTAATTAGGACTCCTATTAAGATCCAATTTTCAAAAACACATTGCACACTGCAGTAACATCTAAACATATTAAACTCAAACACTAGATAATGTGCTCTGCTAATTAAGTTTTATAAGCCAGCAAAGCAATGATGGATCTTTCACTGAGACAGGAGATGCTCAATTTTGTAACATAAGTTTTCTGATCAGTTGGAAAGAGTTTTTAAGTAAGCTTTTTCTGAACTTTGAAAAAGCTACCTGTCTGCAAGCTGTAATCATCATCCCAGTCTACTTTTGCCACTGAGAAAAGTACTGTAGTCAAAGCACAACACATTTCTGATTACAGATACCCAGCTGATAGTGCTCAGGAACACCACAGCTTTAACTACGAACATATATGAATACATATTGTCCACAAAATACATGTTTTAATTTTACACACTTTGCTTCAAGAAAATTCAATGGAAATATTTTTGGCCAACCATAGTAGAGACACTGAGTATCTCATGTAAGCATACTGGAACTTAAGGAATTCTAACTGCTCATTTTTAGGCCTTCTGAGCACTTACTCTCACATCACTGGCTAAAAATTATTTTAGTACAATTATTAATATTCTATATGTATGACTAAATCAATGGGCTACAGAAAGTTTTAAAGGATTCCAGCAATAATTTGAATAAATGTTTGGGAAACCAGGCAGGTGAGGTATTTGTGTGCAAATATTACTCATCTGCTTTAACTGATGAATGGCGTGTGATGTGCTAGGTTATAGATTAAGTATGTACAGCTTGATACTGGAATCTACTGGTAGCTTTGCACTACTGCCAAAATACAACTGAGAGTAAGTAAGGATCTCAGCAACAGAATGGAAGAAACATGTAGTGACTTACTACATACTTAGTAAATATGGGAATTGGACATGTAAAAAAGAATTCAAAAATTTTAATGCAAGATACTTTTTATACTGCCTTACTGAGTAATAATAAAGTAGTTCAACCTCAACATGAGATCAAATTGCATCTTCCATGAGTGTATGGATGGAAGCTCAAGAAAATTAATTGCAGCTTGCTGCCAATGGGAGATGATAGTTTTCTGGATCCCTGTTTGAACTCCCTTCTTAACCATAAGCAATACTCTGGATTTCATATATGGCAACTGTACTTTTCTCTCTCTAAGGTCAAAACTATTTTTCAGTAAGAAAAAAATATTTACTCCAGTAAATCATGATAATTGATATACCAATAGGATGTTGGCCAACTGTTTGGCAGTAAATGACATTTTACAGTAATTTAAAAAATACTGAAGTGTTATAAATATATTTAACACATCAATATAGTGTTTACCAGTCCTGTATGAACACTTCATTCTGAAACATTACACTTTATACTACCAGTGTCTCTGCCATCCTTCTGCTTCATTAAAACTCAAGTCAATACAAAACAAACCTACTTTTCAATGGCCATGTAATACCCAGACAGTTTCACTGCACTTTAAAAAATGAGTCAGGTCTTACCCAAAGTACTCATTTGCAATTTAAGGTGCAACACAAATCCACTTTTCAATTCATTGCATTTCACTTAATCAAATGAAGTTTATATTTGACATAATCATAGAAACTCCCCAAATGGCTTGCAACCCTAGTGCCTACTGCATCCCCAAGGTTGAATTTTATTGTTCGAGGAATAACTAGATAAAAACTGTGTTAATTACAAATTAACATTAGTATGACATATGACCAGTAAGGAAGTCAGCAGGTAAGAAATTAATGAGAAAAATACAGTAACAATCTTACCTTTAAGTCAAGATGAACCACATTATTTCTGTGCAAGAATGAAACTCCTTCTAAGATCTGCCTCATAAGTCGTTTAACATCTTTTTCCTTAAATGCTTCCTCTCTTTCAGCCACACACTGGTCAAAGATTTCACCTCCAGCAGCACTATGGAACAATATGAATTTTATTATTTCAAAGACTAAGTTGTAGCTCCCATTTTGGTCTCCTCACACTATTTTATTTAGTGTAAGCAAGATCAGCAGGTGGTAGCATCCAATAGTGATATTTTTAATTATTAAACATTTGGCAAGCTTTTACAGCCTAGGAAGACTTCTCTGCAGTATGGCAGCGTTGGAGAGAAGCAAGGATCTTAGCCATTTAGGTTAGAGAATATGAATACTTCAGAAATTTTGGGGACTATTTTGGAAACACTACTGACTATGCTGTAAGATGAGTGCCACATTTGTTTAAGGGCAGTGTTTACATAAAAGATGTGCCTTTTGCCATTCCAGTGAAACTACATGGAAATTTGGCCAAGGTAAGCCTTTGTAAGCACAAAGCAAAACAGCTCCACCCCCAATCCTCCACTAAACTCTTTGCACATACTCAATTGACTAAATGTAAAGTTTATAATTGAATTGTTTGTGAAGTCTCTAGTATACAAGGATGCATTAAGTTTCTAAATAACTTTCATCTGAAAATACTTTTGAAAATTTTAACTCTCAGCTTGCTTCCATATCATCTGTTTATGTATGGTTAAATAAATAACAAAGTAACAAAAAACCCAGTAACTACAGAGGAATGAATGTTTTTAAAGTACGCTGAAGCCACATGTAGTACCATCTCTGTATAGCAGCAACTCTGGAGAACTAAAATTGTTTTACAACATAACCATGTAGCATCAAAGGTAAAATAAGCAGAGCAGACACTCCATCTTAAAACAAGAATGGGCATAAGAATGGGTCCATTTTGCATATGGATTGTTGAATTACTACTTAGCAATGTATAAATGGAATCAACACATACATGCTTTGTTCTGCATGAAATTCTATAATCAACCCCTAGTTAAAGATGGTGAAACCCCTGAGGACAGTATCTTCTCCAGTTACCCCAAACTGTGACACGCCAAACCTGACTTTGCACAAGCGTTAATCTTTATTGATGCATAGCCATCTATTTTGCTTTTGCTTGCTCTTTTCTAATAAATTATATTACCTAGGCAATCCAGAAGACAGAGAGGCATATTCAACAAGGATGTAACAGCAAATCAGAGTTCTATGGAAGTGGTGCATTTGGATTGTGTACGCCCAGAAAAAGAACACCAATATACTCAATTTTTCATGTTGTCATGCTATAGTCCTACTACCTTAAAATGCCTCATGGTTTATAAAAACTCTTTGCCTTCCCAGATGTTCTCATTACTGTTATTTAAAATTCTCCATGTGGATTTTCTTACAAACAAAAAGAATCTAAAAGACGGTTATGTCAACTTTTTCTAAAGAGTTTGTATCTCTGTTCTATATGCTGGCATACTGGTACAGAAGTACAATTTGATTTATTAAACTAACATTTTCTTTTTAAAAAAGAAAAGTCTATTAAATAATTATTTTTCTTCATCCTGTATCAAAGATGACAGAACTCAAGAATAAAATGAGTTTTCATCAAAGGAGTATTAATACTTAATTCCTTTAGAAAAATTGCATATGCCTTACACTCTATCACATCTTTCTTTGGCATATTTTTATTTAATTCAAGGAAAAAGTAATATTTCAGCTTTGAACAGGATTCAGGTATTAATTACATTTTAAAAATTGACACTGGATAGTGTATTCTAATATTTTAAAACAAATTCTTTTAAAAAGCAACACAAATTTGATCTTCAAGATGGGGACAGAAAAATGTCTACAGTAATCAAAAAACTTTCTACTTTAAGAATGACATAATATGTTACTTGGAAGAATAATTTAATTCCTTGTAGCAGTAAATTATAATGCACATATAGTGATAAGATCTACTACCAAAATTACTGACGTGTTTTACAGCAAAAACCCTGGGATTTTGCTGATATAGCTCTGCCACTTACAATAAGCAAAACAGTACTTCTGCTATTTAATTCTACGTGAAATAGGATTTATACCCTAAAATTGCTGTTGTCAACCAGGGATCACACTTCATTTTTAATAGACCCAGCTGAAAAATTAGCAATGGGGAGGGCCATATAAAGCCCTGTTTGCTATATATCTATTTGGTAGACACCTGTTACAATTAAGTCACACTAATAAACAAATTAGCATTGAAGTAGGCACCAAGCTAAAAATGTAAGCTACCTAGAATTTTAATAATACACTTAAAGAACTTCAAGTTAAATGTGTTAAAAGTCAAGGCAATGAAAGTGGAAGCACACAATGTCCCATCACTGAAATCAAGAGGCTGCACTACCATATGACAGGAGAAAACCCTCGATCCAGGAAACTTTTTTTTAAAAAAAGGTATTTAAGTACCTCCCAGTACTTCTGAAGATGCCTAGGTTCATCAGCATTTTTAAGAGCAAGACAAGCAAATACAGCCCTTACACATACACACCCACTTCATGACTTATGAAACAGCCATTCTCAGCTACCATAGACAAATATACTTAGCTTTACAAAGAAGTTTCACACGGAAAGGTGGTTTCACATGCCATGTTTAATTTTTCCAATCAACTTTGCTATTTAGGATGCAGATAGAACAACTTCTTCCAGACAATTCACTCTATCCAAAAATTACCATATTCAAACAAGTAACTAGCAACCCTTTACAAGAACACGGGGAAATTTGTTACTGCAAGACTGTTTCATGTATTGTTGCTGGGGAGTGACCTTAATTGATTCCCTTAAGCAAAACAGTCAGATAGCTGTGAGCCAACCTAGTCACAAGTGGTTGGAAGTACAATGTCAAAATTAACTTCAAAATGATTCTCCTGCACATCTATGCCAAATTTTGCCAAGTAACTCAGTTGTTTTGTATTCCCTAGCTAGAGTTCGGCGGGGGGGGAATTCAAAACCCAGAAGGGATTAAAATACCTGCTAGGGAAGTACTATGGGTATGTCATTAGTATGATTTCTGTATACATGCAGACCAGGAGTTCCCCAGTGTTTATAACATTTACCCATTTTTCCTCCGAGAACACATCTTCCACTAAGCTGTAGCTTTTCTAATAGTCATTATGAAATAACAACTTTGCAAACCACTAGGCACCCCCACCCACCTCCACAGAAAATGTTCCTAGGGGATAAAAGCAAAGAATTGTCCTTAGGACAAGAAAGTCTTTAGGAAAACAAGCCATCTTAATCTGAAAAAAATTGGATAAGGAAATATTTAAGAGCACAACATTTTGAAATCCAGTGTTACTTAGAATACATTATTTTTCTAGTACACACTCCCTTAGCTCGTTGTATGAAAAAATGCAAGACATACGAATTCTTACCAAACTTAAAAGCTACCAGAATTCTTTAAGCTATTTGTTTATGAAAGTACTGTTGTGCTATTAACTTTGCTATAGTTTCAAGTGAAATCCAACTGCTCTTCTTCAATGAAAAGCATGCTAACATTTCATTACTGCTTATGAGCTTAAATGACACAGAAGTTCAGTTGGAAGTCTGGAGCATTAATCTTGGTTACAATTATGTTGACTTTAAATTCAGCAGAGACTGCTTATCTTCTTTAAACGTATGTTAACAATGCACTGTATGGAATTCAGCATCCTACTTCTTTCAAGTGCACTTACAATACACTACCACAGTCATTTAGCATATCATTAGAAAAAGATTGAACAAATCTATTTCAGTGCATCTGAAAAAACTAAACATTCCCCCAGCTTTAATGGATCAGACATTAAAATAGTCTTCTGAAAGACTCAGAAGTACAAATCCTCAGAGTATAGATATGTAGATAACAAATTCCTAGAATACACTTAATTTCAAATGCCGAGTGAGACCATATACAGTCTGCAAGGGCCAAAAATTTACTTCCTGAATCTTGTGCTCTGTCAAATGCCCTTCTTGAAAGGGTTATCTTTGGAAGATAAATGGAAACTCATCTGCTTTCTGTACACAGAGCTTATATTAGAAGAAGATCACACCAAGGTGGTTGTAACACTATCAGCAAAGTTCACATTCACTACTGTTGACACTCATACCCCCCTTTCCTTGGCTAGGCATACTATTAGGTAGTAAGCAAGCAAGTGAATTTACCGAGGATTTTTCCAGTGTAAGGCTACTGTAACATACCAATGTCCCCAAAGACTGAGAAAACTGTAAATCCATATCTGATGAGAGGACATATGGGAAGAGAAGCATCCAAATGCATTAAGTTGTAGATACTGTTCTTTTAAGTTCTTGGTTCTCAGACAAATGCAACTTTTTTTTTTTTTTTGCCTTAACCTTTCTGATCAGGCAGTCCAAGAACTGAATGAAACACAAACAAAAGGTCACTAACACCATTTGAGAAGTTGTCCCCTAAAACTTTCTGAAGAGCTCCTGTCTTGATTTGAGACTGCCATCTAGAACAACTTTGTTAATTCCTCTTATAGACAAGATGCAAGCATTGGAACAACACAGTTATTTCTGATTACAGTGGTTTTGCTACATGTTCTGTCTGTTGAATCCCATGCCAAATGAATTGTTTCCTGCCAGCAGACTCCTACTTTAACCAGTCACACCTCCAGTAAGTAGGACAATAAGTAACATCCAAGACAATATAAGTAGTAACATTATCCAGGTCCAAATAACTATAGGTGAAAAAACCACTTCATCCAGTACATCAAATAAACCCTGACCATGTCTTCAAGATGATAAAAACAACTTTCTTTTTTAAAGTAACCATAACAAAAGTCTACTATATCTACATAAGACCCTGGCAGGTAATTACTCAGTTCAGAAGCTCTTCACAGAAAAACACTTAACAGCTTAGATTTTGAAGTTACACATCCAGGTTTCTTTAATATCCGACCCACTATCTATCCCTTCCATAGATGTGTAAACATATGGTGAGGAACACATAAAAAATGCCAGTTCTTAAGCATCAGATGCTCTGTTGCTCTCTTTCAAAAGAAATTGGAAAAAGTCATGTATAGAAACACAACTGACCCACAGATGAATTCCAGGCTTTACATACTACCCCTTCAGACTTACTTACCCCCTCAACTCCTACTTAAATCCTCTGTTTGAAGTCTCATGCCAACAAAGAAAAGTCAGAAACTGTTGTCAGGGTGGATGCAGACAGCCACCAGTTTGCTATCCTACAGCTGAAGCCAACACTGTAATGCCTCATTGCTTCCCATTGTTCCGAACTTAATATTAACAGTTAGTGGCCAATTTTAAGTTTGTTTTCAGTCAAAAACGGATACTGCTTGAAAGACAACACTCCATGTGACATTAGTATTTCTCTTCATGAAGGCAAAGGTCTAGTTGCCCCCCTCCCCTTATGACAGATTCAACATCAAGACAAGAAACTTTAAAACTTTATCTGCTGAAGTTAGTGGCCAACAATTAAGTATTTGTTTTTCCGCCTTCCCAAGATAAAGATCTGCCACACAGACTATCAAGCTTAATAGAAACTGGAATGCCCCAGAGAAGCTTGCAGTCTAGATAAGTTCTTTAATCCTCTGCATACAGAATGTCAGAAATTTGTAACATTCATACCCGTTTTGTTGCAACACGTCTCTGGAACATGCTGACATTAAAGAAGCATGCAGACAGAGTTGCTGAAGTCAGGGAAAGACTGTTTTTGTAATTTACAACTCTAACGCACAGCTATTTATCTGAAACAAGGTATGACTGATGCATATAAAAAAAATAATGTTGCTAATTACTGAACAGCCTGGTGACTACTGAACAACCTAGTTAATACCTTGGATTAAAAATGTTTTGCAGTTGTAAGAGAACTGAGTTCTAAGAGAAAACTAGAAATTTTGCATTAAAATTATCACAAACCCCATTGCTTATATCAAGTTTTGGTTTCTATCACTCGTGTTATATCCCTGTGGGATCCAGAAATTTAGACTGTATTCTAGTTAGATCTGTGCTGCTAGTGATTAAAGCATATGAGTCTTCAATAACAGCAATTAAAACTCTAGAAGCTCTGTCACACTTTTGCATTGTAACAGATACTTGAATATTTCATAAATCATGAATTCCATAAGGGCACAGTGAAGCTGAAAAAATGTATTCTAGAAGGAAGTTTGTCTTAGCAGACATGGTCTCATTCCATTTTACTGAACTTTAAAGATACAGTTTCTTTTGACTTCTAAACAAGATCAGATTGGGACACAAGATTTCTCACCATTCATTTCTGTTATGAAGGAAGAAAAGAACTGTACAAACTAGATTTATCTTAGCAGATGGGTTAAGTTACTTCTGAACTATCAAGCCTCACTGTTCCTCTCCTAATTATTTAAAATCCATAGAGCTTGAACAGGAACAGAGTTCAATAGCAACAAACATTTAGCTGCCTCTTGGAAACTAGACATCAAATATCTAAGCCACTGGAGTATTAGATGAACAGTCACAACAGCTGCAAAAGCTCCCGTCTGGACAAACTCAAGGGGGGTTAACAACACACAGACAAATGTAGAGTCACAAGTTAAATGTCATTTCAAAGAAACTATCCTAGATCTGAATCCTCTTTCACTTTTCCTTCCCCCAAAAGATAATGATTTAGAGAGCTTTTCATTGTAGATCATAGGGGGTTTTGATAGTTTCTTTGTAACAATGACATTGCTTTCAATACCTTTTTCGTAACTGGTAAAAAAACCCCAACAGATTTCAGCCCATCTTTGTCACTGTCAAGGAAATAAACTTCAGTTTTTGAACAGATACTCATTGCTTCTTTCCTCCTCCTCTTTTACAAGCAGGGAGTGTACACAGTTCATATTTCACTAAAGAGTTTTTTTAACTACACAAATTATAGTTCAGCTTTGAAAGATACTACATAATTGGAAAAGTTTATTATAATCTGCAGTAGTTACAAGACTGCACATAACTTCTTGTAATACTGATTTTCTTAGTAATTCTTTTTGAACTCAAGCAAGTGTAACAAGCAAGCAATAAAATCTTTTCACATTATTCATATTGACACACAGTATTTTTACATGACTAGTTTTAAGCAAATACTGCAGAAGGTTATTCAGGAATTATTACCAGTACTTACTATTCCAGGACTAAAATCATCTCTGTTGCAGTTTCATAAACTTCATGCAAGTTAATGACCCAAAGGTTGCATTGTGCCAGCTCAAGGACTGCAATTTCATGGATTATTTCCATCCGACAGTCTTGGCCCTTTCTTCTTTTTCTCATGAATTTTGCTGCAAACTCTCTTTCACTGTCTTTCTGGATACACTTCTTCACTACTGCAAATTTTCCTCTGAAATGAAAGAAGAATTTTAAGTTAAAATTAAGTCCCTTAGTGACAACATTAGTATGGCCCTTACAGATTAACATTACAGGAAACTTGAACTAAATCACTATTAATGAATACATTTAAAATATGTTCTAAATTTAGAAGGATACCTTGCTGAGCAATAATCTCTACACTTAAGTCAGGAACATCACAAGCCAGAATGTAATTTAACCTCCATTAAAAATAAGGGCTTAAAAACCCCTATCAATTCAAGGAACATGGATTTCAAAAATACAGAATAAACAAGCTGTGCTAGTTTGCAAGATTAAGGTATCCTCAAACCTTTCATTAAAAAAGCTGGCAGAAACCAAAGCGTACAGGCAATTTACGCTCTCTGTGACTACGTAACAATAACCTAGGTAATTGTCCAGCTATTCTTTTCTAAAGTATCCCACCATATTCAAGGCAGCAGCAACCAGCACTCTTACTGAGTAACTGCTCAAAATTGTGCTCCATTTGCCATGCAATATCCAGACTCTGCTCTGCATTTTCAAAGATGGCACTTTGTATTTTCACCATAGTATGTCTCAAATGATAACAGCCAGAATTTTTTGCTGTTTAACAGTTCTCAAAATCCCTTATTCTTAGTCTCACTGTATAAGTAAGGAACATGGATCATTTAAAAAAAATTAAGCAGCTCAGCCAACATCAAGCTTTCTAACAACATTTTTGCGACAATGATAATGCAAATACAACCACACACTGAGCAGAACTGAACACAGTGCTTAACCCACATTAATGAGCATCATTTCTGACAAAACATACAACTGGTAAGTTACACCAAGCCAGCAGGCTAGCTAAAACCACACTGCAGCACTTACATCAGAAGACTTTCCCCACAGTATTTTGGACCGAAGTGTCTGCTCTGAACTTCCTTGCAATAGAGTCCCATGCCACCTGCTCCACTCTGTTCCATTCATACAGTACGGATTTTTAGCCTGAAAAGGTCTATTAATATCTGTCATCTAATGCAGCGATGAATTCTCATACTTTGAAGTATAGCAATCTTTTTTTAGTTCTTATCATACAGGTATAATATTCATGAAAACAATCTTTTTTATTTATATGTAAAATTTTTCTTACAAAGCTGCAGGAATAGCTTGGGAAATCTTTATTTAGGTTCTTCTTATTTAAGTTCTTGACTTGTTGTAGGGTTGCTGAAACCAAAATAAGAGTCCTCATCTGGTTTGGAATACAATTACATGGGTTTTGCCTCTCCTACCTCCAAGCTGAAGTTCACAGAATTAACTAATTCAGCTCATGTCAAAGTTTTCACTCTCACAGCTCCTAACCTATTGCCACACTTACATTTCCATGAAATGTAACTGCTAAAAGAACTTGCGGTCAGCTTACTTTTAATAGGCATTTGTTTCAAAATTATCCAGTCTAAATGAATTAAGTCAAATAAGCACCCGCAAAGCGGGTATTTGCTAGGCAATCTCACTAAAATAATCTGACTTCTAACCACTGATACAGCCACAGTTATTCCTCTAGGAGTAGTATTTTGCATAAGCACATATTATCTACAGCACAATAGGTATTAAGACTAGATCAGAGCACAGCCCAGATGGCTGTAAAGGTAGACAAACAATAAGAATATGCTTTCAATGCCTTGAATCCAGTTTTTTGGGGAGAAAGTTCTTAATTACTAATATATATGTTAAGACAAATTTTGCTTTGCAAATGCATGAAAATAATTATACGATTGTAGCACTAGGAAGGTGTGGTCAAAAGATCACTATAAAATGAGTTAATCGCTATAGAGTTACCACAGACCACCACAGGAGGAACAGACACGTAAAACCTCAAATAAAGCCTAACAACCTGCTAGGTGCCTGGTACACATCTATCAAAAACCATGCTGGAAGAAATAACAAATGTGTATAATAGAGAGCACTCATCAGGAAACATAGGAATGCACTAATGATGCTCCTGATCCCAAAAATACTGCAAGGACACTGTTTCTTTTAGGTAGATTTCCAGGAAGTTTGTGACATTAGTGTTGAAACTACAAGTATAAACATCCCTCCAGTATTGCAATCTAACCACAACTGAGAGCAACCTTCCTTATGTAGCCAGTGGAAAGGATTTTAAGTTATTCCAAATGAAGACATGCATCTGTATGAGTCATGTACAATATAAATCTATGCACTTATCCAAAGTGTTAAAATTCTTGCTGAAGTTTTTAGCACCAAAAAAAAAACCAGCACAGGAAAAAAAAAAAATAGCGACTATGCTGATAAGAAAAAACCCAACAGACAACTCAAGAGACTAACAGATAAGCCGTTTAACAGCAAGTTATTTTAATACCTGGTAGATGCTAAGCCTTTGTACCAAAAACCTAGACCCCTGGGTTCAGCCTTGTCTATTTTTCTTAAACAGTCTCTGAATGCACAGTTTTCTTCTGGTTGAATGTCACTGTAGTGCAGAGTCAAAAGCTTTTAATTCTTGTGCCAGTGAAGGACCTAGAGAAAGTAGTTTAGAAAAGTTTGAAATCTCTGTAGTACAGCTTTCAAGAAGCACAGTGTTGTCTTGCATTACATACAAAATCTATCTGGAAGCAAGTTAATTAGCCTAATGAGTACCAATGTTGCCAATTCATCACACATAGTCACTATGGAAATAAGACAGCACTCAGGGGCCAGGAAGAAACAGCAAGAGCCACCACTGTGTGTGGCCACACATGTCCTGTTTAGCTGAGCTGGCCAGAAGCCTGATAGGTCATGTAATTAAAAGGACAGGTTACACGGGAGTTCAGCTGGCTGACAAATACTAGTTCTTAGTTGTTTAAGACCAAGAATTCTTCCCGGATTCTTTATGGACATACCTACAATTAGAGCTATTATAACTACAGTCTGCAGAACTCATCTTTTCTTAATACAATCCCAAGAAAGATCAATCTTGACAAACCTGATGTTTATAGCTAAGAGAACTAATTACTGTGCAGCAACCTACATTCATGCCTGAGACAATTTCAGAGCTAAGATCCAAAGATACCGTCCACAGTATGGTTAAACCAAAAGATAAAAGAATTTCTTTTTGGTAGAGACAGAATGGTAGATAAAGACAGATATAAACAAGCTTTCCCATAAAGTACACATTCCATGAAGCTTCATCTTTGCTTTTCTTAAAACCCTGCTTTTCAGAACTCCTTATTAAAAAAAAAAAATCTATTAAATAGTGAAAATAGTATCAGGTCAGAGCATTGCTAGTTCAGCTATATTGAGAAGAGCTGGCAGTGAGAACATTGCATCGAAGAACAATTTTGAGAGGAAACAATGTGCATTTCCAAAGTTAAAAACTGACTACCAGTCATCCAACCACAAACAAAAATGCTTTGAAGGGAGATATGAATAGAAAACTAGAAGTAGTTCTCAGTCCTCACAAGAGTCTCATTCAAGAATTATGATTTAAGATAAATCATATCTGATTACAAAGTAGCTCAATGTCATCTTTTCAGACTGCCAACAGAATTAGCGTTGTTTCATCTGGCATACATTATGGCTTAAAGCAAAAACCTCAACTCACAAGTCAAATGTCAGATCAGATAAGCAGGAACGTTTATGTCACACCAGTTAATTTTGGTGGTCATAGGCTCAGAACAGAGAACTAAGCTTACTTTAATAATTATTTTTAAAGTGACCTATAAACCCCTGTCACTGTTACAAATGCAGGAATAAGAGCAATTCCTGTGAAGGTATTTGCTTTTTCTAAAGTGCAGAAAACTTTTCTGAGATCCACAAAACTATATACAATTTGTTAAGTAACTCATATCAAACAATTTTTCTAAAGTGTGGGTTTTTTCCCCTAAAATTTTTTATTTCCAAACAGCAAGGTATGTGGATTCCATGATGTTCATGAATAATTTACTCACATAAATTTGTTCTCAAAAGGTAGAACCAACTACTTGCAACTCTTCATTTTCACCTCTTTTCCACTTTCACTTAGTTCCACAACTGTTTCACCCTAGCCGTGCCACTGCAGAGAGCAGCTGAGGACAGAAGTGTGATAGTATATACATTCTTACTGACACACAAAATTGTACAAGAGTCACGTACCACTAAGATGCACATTACTGAAAGCTACCTGAGAATAAGCAAGTTCATGCCGGGGTGG